TGCTAGTTTTACAATCCCACCAACAGGTGTAAGTGGTTCCTATTTCTCCACATTCCTCGTCCGTAGCACCTGGTTTCCTGACTTTTAATTATCTGCCTTCTAACTGTGTGAGATGGTATCTATAATAATAAAAAATAAATAAATATTTTAAAAAATAATAATAAAATAAAATAAAATTTATTGTCCAAAAACTGCAATTACTTTTGCACCAACCCTGTTTTAGGATCATTCAGTTAACGGCCAAAGCAGATTAAAATTACATTACTAAATTTCTCAGCCACTTCCTGTCTTTCTGGAGGCTTGTAGAAGACACCCCTAGTTGCCTACCTCTGGTAGAGACTCCTAATTATAAAAACTGCCTAAAATCCAGTCAGAGGATAACACACACCCTAATCAGGTTCCTGGTACATGCAGGTGAATGCAGTCCTAACTGAAATTAGGTTTCTTATCACTCAGTTTTTATTTGTTGCATATTTTCCAGTGATGGCGTTAAATGGTTGCCATGAGTGAGGAAGCATGAAAATGTTATCTATGATCTCTGCACTCCAACTCTCCTGAATAAAACACTGGACAGGGCCAAAAACCCGAGGAGCCTGTCTAATAGGGTGGTCAGAGACAGCAGCACTGTGGATACCTTTAAGAAACAGTGGCATCTCTGAATGCCTGCTGTCCTGAGAGGGTGTGCGAAGTCTTGCAGGCCCAGCAGAACTCTGAGGCAGCTGCACGTACTGGAGAAAGCTGACACCCACAGATTGGGAGACAAGAAAGAGCAGAAGGGATTTCCCGGGGCATCAATAGAGAACTGACAATTTGCTGTAAATTGCAGACCTATCAGAGTAGAGTACTATATGTTCCTAGCACCAGCCAGCCCCAACCACTCAGGGTAAACAGAACTATAAGTAGGGGAAAAACAAAACAAAACAAACAAACAAACAAAACCCACACAGCACACCTATGAAGAACTGAGCAACTGGAGGATGAAGGACAAAGCAGAATAATTCCTGGGGGCTCTGGAACATAGACCTGCCAGAGAAGAGTGAAGACAATGACTTTCATAAAGAATCATAGTACTTAACGAGATTCTATTCTAACATAGGAAGACTCCAGACGACTGAAAAGTATTGATTTCCAAGTGAAAACAACTACATAGATTAATGAGAAAAGAGGATGGTCATTTTTGAGAACTAACTTAGAGTCTGGAAAAAATAAATGGAAGACATATCTTAAAACATAGGTTTCAAATAAAAAGGGATAGTAGATCTTTTACAATTCAATTGCAAACACAGAAAAAACTGCAGTTGGTTTAAGCAGGAAGGAATTTAGCATAGGAAAATGGGTGCTTACAAAATGTTTAGAACTAGAGAAACAAGTGCTAGGTTATCTCCCAGAATTAGTCTATCAAATAAGTGCTTCCACCACAGTCAGGATGATGGGGAACTAGGGAGCCACTGCCCCTCTCCCCTGTTGACTCCAAGACCAGCAGCTCAGCTGAGTGCCAACAAAAAGACCTACTTATGCCTGGTCTCGCAGCACCCACAGCTACTAGCCAGCTGGGACACTGTCACTGTTGCCACTGGAAAAAAAAAGCTTCTAAAATTGTGCTGCAAAAACACTGGTTCCTCCTCACTCTACCTCTTGCCTGGATTTATATGTTTGGTGTAAGGCAGGTTAAATGTGGGACACAGTTGGAAGCAAGTCTGGGAAATGTGGTCTTTGCTTTTCCTAAATCTAACATACACTAAAGCATATTAGAAGTAGTTTGGAATCATGTTATCTACCATATATGATATAGACAACATTTGTCACTATTTTTATCTGTTTGGCAGAAACCCCCGCAATATGTAGTACTATATTTCTTCAATTATAGGATGCATACTATTTATTCACAATTAAACATCTCCAAACTTGGGAGAAGGCATTTTAGATTCCCCTACTTTAGGGGATGTCCAGTCAAACAAAAGTGGAAAGTAAATGCTCAATAAATGTTGGCTATTATAACTATCATCCTCATCAAAATATTAAAAAATAAAAGGAGAGATTAATGGCAGCATATTTTAAAAGTGGTTAAGCATCTTGCTATAGTTAAAAACTGAAAGGATAGACAACTCTTATTTTTGTATACTGATGCTCATACACAGCAATCTGTAGATTTTATATTTATATATAATATAAATACAAAATCCCAGCCATTAGCATCTGCACAGTAGTTGGCAAATAAAATCCCCAATAACAAAGCAGAAAAATAACCTATTATGAGGTTGAAAACAGAATTTGAAACCATTTTGAGTTAAGGTATGGGAAACACTTGGGAAAAGTAGCAAATAGCAGCATGAAACAAGTTGTTGGCTTGTTGATTATTTTAATGTAAATTTTTATGAAAGACTCCACGTCACCTGAGAGTTAAATAATAAATGTGAGCCTGTAAGGTAGAGTTGAATTAATATGCAAAATCTTGTAATTATTTCTTGCTAACTTTTAGAGATTTGAATTTAAAACCAGAAACATACCTTCTAAAAAAAAAAAAAAAAAAAAAGAGGCTATTCTGTGTGTGGGGGGGAACAAACATATATTTAATACATAGTGTGGAGTAATCCATTTTAAATCTTACAGGCACTATCTCACTGCTTTAATACTTATTTTAACATTTCTGAATGGGATCTTTAGGGGTTAACACGTTTCAATATGTAAATTTTTTAAAGGCTGCCTCCTTTACATATGCTTTTGAATTTCTTAAATCAGATCCACACTAGCTGAGCCTCCAGCATTTTAAAAGGTAGAATTAGACACTGAACTTTGTATTTTGCACAACCAAACACAGTGCTCAGGACCTCTCATTGGATTTGCAGTGAAGTTTGGATACCTCTAATAGGTGCTAAAGCACCCTGGACTTTATCCGAGCACTTACCAAGCTATTATGTAAATACTGGTTTTATTATCTCACTCTACTCAGAGGGCAAGTGTCTCTCAGTTTTGTTATTTTTTCACCCCCAATACTTGGCAATGTGTGTGCTCACTAAACATCCATTGAATAAGTCAATGATCAAACTAATGAATTATTGAGCAATAGTCCTGCAAAAAAGAAACACTGCAAGAGACTTGAAATTAAAATAGTCTTGAAGTCTCTTTCAGATCTTGGCATGGTACCTTCTTTCAGGGAAGGAGGCAAAATTACAAAGGAGCGGAGTTTTGTCCTTATAGGAAAATATATTCCTTAAAACTTTTTTCAAAAATTATTTTGCTATGAAACTTAGAACATATACACATACATAAAATACGATAGAGAAATATACTTACAGTTTAATATGTATGTAGAAAGTGAATGCTTATGTTTAGGACCCAGGTAAAAAATTACAACATTGCTAGGACCCCAGAAGCACTCTCCCTACCCTCCCAACTCACTTGCTGTGACACCTGCTAGTCACCAGCCACCCCTTCTCTTCTCTAGAAAGCAAGGTTACCACTATCTTAATGTTTACAGGATTTTTTTTGTTTTGTTTTATCATGCATGTTCAAATTCCTAAATTACATAGTTGAACTTAATTGCTTTAAATAGTGAGGTTCCACGGTTCATCAAGATTAGGTTACTGTTTAAAATTCTCAAGAATATTTCACATCTAGTAAGCAAAGAAAGGAATGCATACGGATTGCCAGATAACCAAAAACATGCCTTTTCTTCTATCACACAAAGATAAAACAAAGTTTTACAAAGACTGGCCATTCTCTTGAAATTTGGAAAAAGAACAATACAGTAAAAATAATTTCATAGCAACATGTTTATTTAAGCCCTAGCTAAGTTTTCATTTACAAGCAAATATTTTCAGGGGAAAAAAATCATGTAAGACAATATTTTCAAATGTTATACCATCCACATAAAAATTAAACTTGCAGAATTTACAAATTAATATTCTAGGCAGACGGAAATATTATACATCCTTTTGCAAAATCCAATCAACAGCTTTTAAAAATTCATACAGGCACAACACAAGATAGTCTCTCTATACAATCTACCTATTTACATAGCTTTTCCCACCACAGATGATAATAGTTCTCACCATAGCTACCAAGGTTTGCAAACATAGTGTATTTAAAATATATTTAGCAGCATATAAAAAAATTAGATAAAAGGGAAGGAAATACTACTATTAAATAAAAACAAAATTAAATGGTGATAATAGAAACAACTCCATAGGAAAATAGATCAAAATATATTTCTGTTAGGACATCAACAACGTTTCCCATCACAGAATATATGCACAGCACTGAAAAAAAAAAAAAAAAAAAAAAAAAACCCAACAATTTAACAGCATTTTAGTCCTGAGCACAGAATATAGTAGAGCTGCAAAACTTTGGTCAATACAAGTAAATGCCAACATTTAACACAAACTGTTTACCCTTCTCTATTAGTAGATTAAGATCAATTCCACCTTATGAAAATTCATCAATAATATTCTCATATCTTATTTTTGTCCATTACATTAAAAGAGCTTTGAAATTTGGGAACTCTCTACAGACTGATAAAAATACCTGACAAGTAAACCACAATTTGACTAACATTTTCAATATGTTTAAATACATAAATCACTTGAATAAACTATATGAATGAGTTAACAGTGGGTTGCATTGTATGCCAGGTGTGTTTTCTGACTGTCACAAAAGCAGATGTCTTGTAATTCAAATAATTTGAAGGTGTGTTTTATAGATAGGCACAAAAATTCAGCTACAATAAAAGTGCGAATAAAGCAATATATCAATTGTAGGATATATATCTATTGATTGATCTTAAATCTAAGCACACAAGATAGTACACAATTTTATTAGAATATAATTTATAGTCAGCAGTTGAATTCAGATATATTTTCCAGTTAATCCCATTCATACGCTTTGCCTAATAAGTGCAGGAAATTTTCCATAAAGAATACAGAGTATTATCACAGCATTCAGTTTACAACTTATCTTCACTCATGTTTAATTACTGGCAGTATCTTCCCCCAGATCTCCTGTGTCAGAGATCTGACCATCTTGCAAATTGCGAGCCTTCCAAATTCTCACAGTTCGATCACTACAAAAAAATAAATAACATGGATATATGAACAAATGCAGAAAGATAAAGAAATAGCTCTTATAATTACTTATCATGGAAATATTTTCTACATAGGTCTTCAAGAAATGCAAGTGCAAATATGCATTGTCTCATTTATATAGCAAACACATACCTTAATAATGATAACAGCTTATATTATCAAGGACTTACTATGAACCAGGCATTGTTACCAGGTGCCCTTTACCTATGTTAACATACATTTAACTCCCTTTAATTACCATTAGCAATAGCTACTGCTATAATCCCCTTTTTATTGAAGAGCTAATTGAGGCCCAGAACACAAGTAAGTGACACAGCTGAGATGTGAATCCAGGCAGTCTGGCTCCAGAGCCTTATCTCTTTTAACACTGGATCTGCACTCATTATTTCAAAGAACAGCATGTGATCTGACATAGTGTCAGAAGTCTTCAGGCAAAACAGCCTGCAGGTCACAGTGAGGCTTGTAGGCAGGGAGAAAGCAGGGGCAGGATTTCTAGGGAGTTAGTGAATATGGCAAAGTCACGAAGAAATATCTTTAGGTAAACTCAGCAAACAAGCCTACAGAAAAAGCAACAGGCTATTGAGAAGTGAACTAATACTCCACCTGGCACAGAATGTAGAAGATTAAAAGGAATTCTGATGCCCCGTAAATATACACAGTTATTATTAATTGAAATTTAAATTTTTTATAAAAAGTATTTCTGAGAAAACATGTTTCTGTTGCCCTCACAGGTGAATACTGTCATTAGACAATCACATTTCTTAACATATCTCTCATGGCTTACAGAAATGTTTCTTTTTCCAATTTCCTGATTAACCCAAAGTAAAAATAATAATAATAAGAGTTTCAATGGAATTTAATAGTTTAAATGCACTTCAGAGATTATGTATTCCATCCCAAGGGAAAAAGGTTTAGTGGAGTGCCAATGTAACACAGCAAAGGTTTTCTAGAACCCAGGCTTTCTAGATTTTAATCAGTTATCTTCTCACCATCCCACACAGCACACATACATTGATAACAGCAATGGAATATTTTCATTTATCCACCCATTCAAGCATTGCATTTATTCATTTAACCATTTACTCAACAAATGTTTACTGAGAACCTGCTACATTCCAAGTATGCTTGGGATATTCTCTCTTTCTTCTTGTCTTCTTCTTTCCTTCCTTCCTTCATTCCCTTCTTCCTTCCTTTCTTCCTTCCTTCCTTCCTTCTTCTTTCTCCTTCCTTCCTTCCTTCTTCCGCTCTCTTCCTTTCCTTCCTTCCTTCCTTCCTTCTTCCTTCCTTCCTTCTCTCCTCTCTTCCTTTCTCTCTCTCTCTCTTTCTTTCTTTCTTTTCTTGACAAAATCTCACTCTGTTGCCAGGCTGGAATGCAGTGGCACGATCTCAGCTCCTCTGCGCAACCTCCGCCTCCTGGGTTCAAGCGATTCTCCTGCCTCAGCCTCCTGAGCAGCTGGGACTACAGACATATGCCACTATGCCTAGCTAATTTTTTTGCATTTTTAGTACAGACGGGGTTTCACCATGTTGGCCAGTCTTGATCTCTTGACCTCATGATCCACCTGCCTCAGCCTCCCAAAAGTGCTGGGATTACAGGCATGAGCAACTGCACCCACCCTGGGATATGATTTTTTTTTTTTTTTAAAGCATTCTAAGTGCTTGGGATATGCCTTTTTTTTTTTTTTTTTTTTTTTTTAAACAGAGTCTTGTTCTGTCACCTACGCTGGAGTGCAGTGACTTGATCTCTGCTCACTGCAAGCTCTGCCTCCCGGGTTCACACCATTCTCCGGCCTCAGCCTCTCGAGTAACTGGGACTACAGGTGCCTGCCACCACGCCCAGCTAATTTTTTTGTATTTTTAGCAGAGACGTGTTAGCCAGGATGGTCTCGATCTCCTGACCTCGTGATCCGCCCGCCTCGCCCTCCCAAAGTGCTGGGATTACAGGCGTGAACCACTGCGCCTTGCCAGGATATGCTGCTTTAAAAAAACAAAAATAAAATTTAAAAGCTCAAACCTTTTGCCTTTGTAGATCATGTATTCTAGCAAAAGGAGACAGACAATAAACCATAATAAATGATTAAACTATAGAGTATATTAGAAGGTGATTAGTGCCACAGGGGTGAAAAAAAAGGAGAGAACAGCCAAGGGGACCAGGAGTGCTAGGCGATAGGAGAGATTACAATTTTAAATAAAATGGCCAGGATACTTTTACTGAGGAAGAAAGACTTGCAGGGTCAGGACATTTGAGAGAAAAACATTCCAGGCCAAAAGAGCAGCTAGGGCAAATGCCCTCAGGCAGGAGTGGCTTTGGAATGTTCAAGGACCAGCAAAGAGGTTATTGGGGTTGCAAGAAAAGGATAAGCCAGAGGGTACCAGATGATATGGCAAGGGTGAAAACAGATGTTCAGAGGGCAAGATCAAGTATGGACTCAACTCTAAGTGAAATGGAGGACGACTGTAGGGTTTTGAATAGAGAAGGAATATGATCTAACTTATGCTTTTAAAATCATTCTAGATTTTGTGTTGAGTGTAGACTACATATGAGCAAAGGACTTTGTTTAGAAGGCTATTATAGTAATCCAAGAGCTGATGGTGATTAAGTCTGGTGAAGAAGTAGAGGATGTGGTAAGAAGTGGTTAGATTCTAGACATAATTTAAAGGTAGAACTAACAGGACTTGGTGATGGATTAGATATGAAGTACAAAAGAAGGGGAGGAATGAAAGGTTCTGTCCTGAGCACAGAAATGTCAGGGAAGCCATCAACTGTGATGGAGAAGGTTGTAGAATGAGTAGGTTTCTTGAAAAGGTTAGGAGTTCAATTTTGGATATGTTAAGTTTGAGATGATTAAATTTCCACTACTAGCCATGGTTAACCCCCCTATTGTAAACAAAGAGAAAACTTGACAAAATTTATGGAGCAGCTGTTTTCAGACACTGGGCAACAGGCAATGCGAGGCTGTGATCCTGGAGAAAAGGGAAACAAAGAAGATACTGTGTGATAGCCCCCGCTGTCTGCCTGGAAGCATTTTGCATACCACAGCAAAGGGAGAGGAAACCCAAGCAGAGAATCACAGGAGCACTTAGTTGAAGAGACAGAAAACAAAATCCAGGAAGTAGAGAAGAGGAGAGATCTATGCAGAGAAAGAACTCTACAAATCTACATGGGGTCTCCTAAAGTCTTTGACTGAATGTTAAGTTGCACATGAGTAGAGTGCAACGATAAGGTCAGACAACAAACAGCTACCAGGGAGCTATATATTGAAAACATCCCAGAGTTCATAGAGGGCTATGAGATGTTCAATTTCTGACCAGGTATAGTAGAGAGATACCACTGAACACCTGGTACCTTCAGTAGAATTGCAGGAAGAGTTAAACTTTCATAGGACAGCCAACTAACCCCAGAGTAATGGCTACTCTAGACCTACCTAACAAAGGTTAAAAACAAGTGTTAAAAACTTAAAACTGAACCACAAGTAATCCAATTGCCTGATAAACAAAACCTGATACTCCTTAAAGGAATACAAAGTACAACAAAATTGAGATACTCAAAATATTACAATGTCTAACATTTAATAAAATATTACTTGACATGAAAAGCAGCAGAAGACAATGACACCAGTAATTAAGAGAAAAATCAATGATATCAGATCCATAAATGACAGGTATGATGAAATTATCTATGTAAGTTATAAAGTGCCTCAGTTTTCCTACTTGTAAAATAGAGATTATAATAATAATACTTAACTTCTAGAGTTATTCTAAGGACTAAATGAGTTAATGTCTGCAAAGCACTTAGAACAATGCCTCGCACATAGTAAGCACTATATAAATATTTGTTAAATAACAAATAAGTAGAACTAATTTTTTAAAAGTCCTTCTGATTTTCTTGGTTATTTTCCTGTGATTTTGAAAACATGTAGTAGACATATTTGCATGTGATATACACTGAGTAAGCTGAGAAAAAGTTTAGCTCTTCATCTGCACAGCAAAAGAAACTATCAATAGAGTAAACAGAGAACTTACAGAATGGGAGACAATATTTGCAAACTATGAATCTGACAAAGATCTAATATCCAGCATCTTAAGAACTTAAACAAATTTAAAAGGAAAAAAACAATCAACCCATTTAAAAGTGGGAAAGGGACATGAACAGACCCTTTTCTAAGGAATACATAGATGCTGCTAACTAGAATATGAAAAAAAGCTCAACATTATAAGAGAAATGCAAACCAAAACCACAATGATACACCATCTCACACCAGTCAAAAATGCTACTATTAAAAAGTCAAAAATAACAGATGTCGACAAGGTTGTGGAAAAAGGGAACACTTATATACTGGTTAGTGGGCGTATAAATCAGTTCAACCATTGTGGAAAGCAGTGTGGCAATTCCTGAAAGAGCTAAAAACAGAACTACAATTTGACTCAGCAATCTCATTACTGGGTGTATACCAGAGAAATATAAATCATTCTACCATAAAGATACATGTACACAAATGTTCATAACAGCACTATTCACAATAGCAAAGAAATGGAATCAACCTAAACGCCCATCAGTGACAGATTGGATAAAGAAAATGTGGTACATATATACCATGGAATACTATGCAGCCATAAAAATAAATGAGATCACATATTTTGTGGGTACATGGATGGAGCTGGAGACCATTATCCTTAGCAAACAAATGAAGAAACAGAGAACCAAATAGCACATGTTCTCTCTTATGAATGGAAGCTAAATGATGAGAACTCATAGACACAAAAAAGGCAACAACAGACACTGGAGCCTACTTGAGGGTGGAGGGTGGCAGGAGGGAGAGGAGTAGAAAAAAATAACTATTGGGTACTGGGCTTAGCACATGGGTGATGAAATAATCTGAACCACAAACACTGGTGACACAAGTTTACCCATATAAAAAACCTCCACATGTACCCCTGAACCTAAAATAAAAGTTTAAAAAAAAAAAAGTTTAGCTCTTCAAAACTGAGACCATATCCTGGAAGATAAGTAAGTATAATTATATTACATGCTGATCCCCAGGCCTCACTGATACACAATAGTAAGTTTTGTATTGGGTGTCCCACAGTCAATGAGAGATACAGCCGGTAAATTTTCAAGGACACAACAAGTTTCCAAGGAAGTAAGCAAAAGTGGTGACTTTTCAGAAAGTAATGCATCTTGGAAATAGTATCGATGAAGCATCAAAGGTAAGCACTTTAGAAAAACAAAATAAATCGGCTCTGATGCACCTTCAAGATGAAAGTAAATCTAAATGAAAAGAGAAATTCAATGGAAACTGCACAAATGCAAAGAAATGACACAGAAATAAAGGCTTCAAAATAAAATCAGGGTATTCATGCATTTGGGACACCTTGAATAAAGTCAGTGCTCAAATTAAATAGATATAAATGGTACACAAACAAAATTGGGAGGTGTTTTAGATAGATATTCACAAGAAATTACATTTTATTTGAATGAGACCTATACTTCACATTATATAATACATATACTTTTCCTTTTCAAAGTACATATATGTGTACTATATATAATGTCATTTATATATATAAACTGTCATTTTACGGTCACAACATCTTTCTACCTCCTTCAAGTATCTTAAATGTCACTTTTTCCATGAGGCCTTCACTGACCACCCTATTTTGTAACCCTGCCCTAGGAAAATCCCATCCCCTTTCTCTCTTTTATTTTTCACCATTGCACTTGTCACCATCTAACACATTCTACTTAATGTATTTTCCATTTCTTCTCATAAGAATATAGACTGGGTTTGGAATCTGTTTTGCTCACTGCTCTGTTTCCAGGAGTCTGGAACAATTCCCAGCACTTAGGAGATTCACTGTGAATGAACAAATGAGTCAATCAATCCAGTCATCCACAAGTGGGTGGAAGCAGATGTTATTACTACGTACTTATACTTTAAAGGGAGGAGGAAGCAGAGAGAGTTTTTAAATAATTTGTTCCAAATATGAAGAATGGCAAATTTGTTGCCTCTCTGAAAATAAAAATCTTTAGAAATTAGTCATTATTTTCTAAAAGTCAAAACCATCAAGGAAACATGTGACAGCTCACTTCCTAAAATAAACAGAGTGCTATACAGGAGTAACAGTATTGTCATGTAACCTGGGGTGCCTAAATTCAGTGCCCACAGTGTACATCAGAAAATATAAGTAAGACATCTTAAAACAGACATTAGAATGATTATAAGGATTTTGCATATTCAATGTTTCTAGATATTTACAACATATGTATTAAATCCGAACAAAAGCAACCAATATAGAGAAAAATCATATAAGAAAACTTACTCAGCTGCAGTAAAAATGTGGGTGGAATTAACACATATGGCATTGATAGGACTATCATGACCTTTCATCTCTCCAACTGGCATAAAAGTATCCATGTTCCAGACTTTCAAAATGCCCCCTCTGCAGCCACTGAGCAAAACTGGGTGGTCTGGCACTACTCCCAGGGCACAGACCCAATCCTTATGTGCATTTGGAACTTGCTAAAAGAAAAAAAATGAAATCAGTAGCTTAAGGAGAGCTTCCAAACTGACATTTTCACATGAAAATAAACTGAAAAACATTTTATTGCAAAACTTAATATTCAGAATTGCCTGAATAAAGTTTACTTTCTATGCAATCACTCTTAGTGATTTAAAGAAATAAATGGGTAATTTGCTTCCCAACTTGCCTCACTAATTTTCATCATTGTTATCAGCATTTAAGGGCTATAATCTACAGAATGTAAAAGATCCTGAAAGTATATAGAATTTTCGAGCATCATATCCTCTTCATGGGCAGTAAATATCTTACTTTTCTCCAAAATGTATTAAATAAAGCAAGTTTGAAAACTGCAACCTGATATGTGGATTATAAGGACTGGCTCATAATATCACTAGTTTAAACTTTCAATAGAGAATATAGAGGCCTGAAGATTTCTGCAGAAGACCAGAGGTAATCTATATATTTTATGATGAGTAAACAATAATTACAAGATTAGACTATATGACTATACTTCATGCATAAATGTATTTATATGCAAAATATAAAATTATAATCATGACTGTATGTTTATTTTTAAAAAGCTTTTTAATGTAACACTGTATATGCATCTATTGCCAAGTTTTTCCTATTAATATTTATGTTTGTTTGTTTGGTTTTCATCTGCTGATTACAAGCAGGAAAGTGGAAGCAACTACTACATATACATACCCACATATACGTATATATAAGGAAAAACTTGAAATTGAAAAGAATTTAATCTGTTAACTACTTTCTTTTCCAGGGAATTAGGAAAAGACACCAATATTTGAATTTATTCAACCCAATTATCACTTTGTAGGAAATGAGAGAACCACCACCCTTAGATGCATGAAAATGCTCTTATAGATAAGGAATTATTTATATCACTCTTGACTTTAGCTAAACTTGGAAATCTTTGGAATATGTGTACATAAAACAAAAGCAAAACAAAATGACAAACTGCAACTGCACTACTCCCAGGCTGATTTTATTTAATAAACACATGCATGGAGCAACCCTAGATCTTTCAACTCTTATCAGCATCTCTTCTCTTATCTAGCAGGTATTATTCAATGTTGAATGTTTCCCTTCTCCCAATGAAGAACTCTGGGGAGGATGAAACATTCTTTAAGAAAAAGGCCTGATTAATATTATCCATAAATGATAAAAATCAACATAGAACCTCTTCAAGTTCTTCTACAGGCTACAGGATCATGTTGAAATGCCCACTCTAAACCATGAAAAGGTTCTGCATTACCTGAAGAAGGTCTTTTTGAGTTAAGTCCCATTTCTTGATTCCATTATCTCTAGACCCGCTAAATAGGTTATCCCCTTGAATGGTTAGTGCTTCTATGCCATCATAATGAGGGGGTTCAAAATTGTGGGTGGGACTCACAGTACCAAGAGCTCCTTCTGTAACATCAAACATCTAGAAAGGTAGAAACAAAGCAGTTATCCTATTTAACTTGCAAACAAACGCAAATATTTGTACAGTCCTAGAAACACATACACATGTATGTTAATCAGATATGACTTCTTTTGTTACCTACTGTTTCTGGTTTGTTAAATTTTTTCTTTTTACTTATTTTATTTATTATTTTGAGATGAGGTCTCACTATGTTTCCCAGGCTGGAGTATAGTGCTTATTCACAGGTGCAATCATACTGCACAGCTGCTTTAACTTCAGGCTCAAGTGATCCTCTTACCTCAACCTCCCAAGTAGCTGGGATTACAGGCATGCATCATGGCCCCAGATCTTAATTATTGTTTTGTTTTGTTATTTGTTGTTATGGAAGTTTTATTAAGTTAACCTGACAGGAATGACAACTGAGGATAAACCTGTGCCCTTTTTTTAACACTACTTTCGCTTGCATGTTACATGCTTTGTGTCTGTAGGCTTTTAAGAAAGGAAACCAGGGAGGGCACCCAAGAGGGCTGAATAGGAACAGCTCCAGCCTCCAGCTCCCAGTGTGAGTGACACAGAAGATGGGTGATTCCTGCATTTTCAACTGAGGTACCAGGTTCATCTCACTGGGGCGTGTCGGACAGTTGGTGCTTGTCCGTGGGTGCAGCCCGACGAGCGAGAGCTGAAGCAGGGTGAGGCATCGCCTCACCTGGGAAGCACAAGGGGGAAGGGAATTCCTTTTCCTAGCCAAACGAAATTGAGACACACAACACCTGGAAAATCGGGTAACTCCCACCCTAATACTGTGCTTTACCAAGGGTCTTAGCAAATGGCACACCAGGAGATTATATCCCACACCTGGCCCAGAGGGTTCCACACCCACGGAGCCTCCCTCATTGCTTGCACAGCAGTCTGAGATCTAACTGCAAGGTGGCAGCCAGGCTGGGGGAGGGGCGCTCGCCATTGCTGAGGCTTAAGTAGGTAAACAAAGCCACCTGGAAGCTCGAATTGGGTGGAGTCCACCACAGCTCAAGGAGGCTGGCCTGCCTCTGTAGACTCCTCCTCTGGGGACAGGGCATAGCTAAACAAAAAGCAGCAGAAACCTCGGCAGAGGTAAATACCCCTGTCTGACGGCTTTGAAGAGAGCAGTGGATCTCCCAGCATGGAGGTTGAGATCTGAGAACAGACAGACTGCCTGCTCAAGTGGGTCCCTGACCCCTGAGTAGCCTAACTGAGAGACATCCCCCACTAGGAGCAGATCAACACCTCACATCTCACACCGCAGGGTACACCCCTGAGACGAAGCTTCCAGAGAAAGAATCAGACAGCAACATTCACTATTCAGCAATATTCTATCTTCTGTAGCCTCCGCTGCTTATACCCACGCAAACAGGGTCTGGAGTGGACCTCAAGCAAACTCCAACAGACTTCCAGCTGAGGGTCCTGACTGTTAGAAGGAAAACTAAAAAACAGAAAGGACATCCACACGAAAACCCCATCAGTACGTCACCATCATCAAAAACCAAAGGCAGATAAAGCCACAAAGATGGGGAAAAAGCAATGTAGAAAAGATGGAAATTCAAAAAATAAGAGCGCATCTACCTCTCCAAAGGAAAGCAGCTCATCACCAGCAATGGAACAAAGCGGGAGAGTGAATGACTTTGACGAGTTGAGAGAAGAAGGCTTCAGTTGATCAAACTTCTCAGAGCTAAAGGAGGAACTACGTAACCAGTGCAAAGAAACTAAAAACCTTGAAAAAAGAACGGATGAATGAATAACTGGATAATCAATATAGAGAAGACCTTAAAAGAACTGTTAGAGATGAAAACCATAACATGAGAACTACGTGACAAATGGACAAGCTTCAGTAACCGACTCAATCAACTGGAAGAAAGAGTATCAGCGACTGAAGATCAAATGAATGAAATGAAGCGAGAAGAGAGGACTAAAGAAAAAAGAGGAAAAAGAAATGAACAAAGCCTCCAAGAAATATAGGATTATGTGAAAAGACCAAATCTACATCTGATTGGTGTGCCTGAAAGTGATGGGGAAAATGAAACCAAGTGGGAAAACACTCTGCAGGATATCATCCAGCAGAACTTCCTCAACCTAGTAAAGCAGGCCAACATTCAAATTCAGGAAATACAGAGAATGCCACAAAGATACTCCTCGAGGAGAGCAACTCCAAGACACACAATTGTCAGATTCACCAAAGTTGAAATGAAGGAAAAAATCTTAAGGGCAGCCAGAGAGAAAGGTCGGGTTACCCACAAAGGGAAACCTATCAGACTAACAGCAGATCTCTCCAGCGAAGCTCTACAGCTAGAACGAGAGTGGGGGCCAATATTCAACATTCTTAAAGAAAAGAATTTCATCCCCAGAATTTCATATCCAGCCAAACTAAGTTTCATAACTGAAGGAGAAATAAAATCCTTTACAGAATAAGCAAATGCTTAGAGATTTTGTCACCACCAGCGGCCTGCCCTACAAGAGATCCTGAAGGAAGCACTAACACGAAAGGTAACACAGGTACCAGCCATTGCAAAAACATGGTCAAAATGTAAAGTCCATTGAATGCTAGGAAGAAACTGCATCAACTAGCGAGCAAAAAAATAACCAGCTAACATCATAACGACAGGATCAAGTTCACATATAACAATATTAAACCTTAAATGTGGAATGGACTAAATGATCCAAATAAAAGATACCACCAAACTGGCAACTGGATAAAAGAGTCCAAGACCCATCAGTTGGGCTGTATCCAGGAGACCCAATCTCACATGCAGAGACCAGCACAATAGACCTACAAATAAATGGATGGAGGAACGATCTAACCAATGCAAAATGGAAAACAAAAAAAAGCAGGGGTTCAATCCCTAGTCTCTGATAAAATAAAACAGACTTTAAACCATCAAAGATCAAAAGAGAGCAAGAAGGCCACTCACATAAGTGTAAAGGGATCAATTCACCTCAGGAGAGCCTACTAATCCTAAAATATATATCACCCCAATTAAGGAGCACCCAGATTCTAAAGCCCAAGTCCTTAGAGACTTAGCAAAGAGACTTACGACTCCCATGTAACAATAATAATGGGAAGACTTTAACTCCCCACTGCAACATTAGACAGATAATGAGAGCAGAAAGTTAACCAAGGATAGATTCAGGAATTGACTCATCTCCTGCACGCAAAGCAGACCTAATACACGACACTCTATACGAACTCCTCCAACAGCCAAATCAACACGGAAATAGTACGGAGCCACTCTCTTCTGCCAGCACCACATTCCGCAGCTTATTCCAAAAATTGACGACACATAGTTTGGAGAGTAAGAGTCACTCCCTCAGCAATGTACAAGAACAGAAATAGTCAACAAACTGTTCTCAGCACGCACAGTGGCAATCAAACCCTAGAACGTCAGATTAGAAACTCAATCAACAAACCGCTCAACTACTGGAAACTGAACAAACCTGCTTCCTGAAATGACTACTGGGTTACCGTCAGCAAAAAATGAAAGGCAGAATAAAGATGTTTCTTTGTAAGGCCAACTGAGAA